TGACCTGGCTTGGGATCCCTACAGAGGGATAGACAGTGGGATGGCTAGGAACAACCATGCTAGGGTACCGATGGGACTGCGGAAGAAGAGGGGGGAAACAAAAGCCCTGCCATGGCCCCCTCCAATGCATGGCCATCTGTGCCTCTGAAGAGCTGGCCTGGCATCAGCACAGCCCACCTGCACCTGCCGCCGGTGACCACCACACAGGGCACAAAGGTGCCAGGAAGATAGATTAGATGGCAGAGCATGGCTGATGGAAGAGGGGCGGTTGGGGAAGAGATGCAAAGCGGCTGCATTACCTGTCTGCCATGGCATCTGCCAGGCCACATTTTGCAGCCCTGGGGAGGGCTGAGCATGGCAGTGGTTTCATAGGGTCCAGAAGTTGGCGCACCACTGTGTGGTGTTATTGGCATGTGCCATGTCAGGGTGAGAGCTGAGGGCAACTCAGTGGGGCCCTGGCAGCCGTGGCAGAGCTGTAAGAGGGACCCTAACCCACCAGTGCAGGAAGCATCCAGGCACCCCCCAGTGCCCAGCCCCAGCCAAGCCTCTGAAAGCACATGAGCACACCTGCAGCATGCGTGGAGATGTGACCCTTGCTGCTCCAGCCTGGGGAAGCCAGGGTGGTTCTTGAGGAGCTCTAAGGACACTCACAGAAATGCTTCCCTCACCTCTGCAAAGCCTGCAGCTTGCCACCAGAGCTGCCCCCCTCTCCCACTGAGTGACAGCACCAAGTGCCATCAGTCGTCCCATGATCCCATCACCCCACAGTCCCATCAGCCCACAGAACTGGGACAAGCAGCTCAGACCCAGACACTTTACTCCTCTGGACCTGGATGGGGCAAGCCCCATGTCACCCATGTCCCAGGGGAGACCTGGCAGCCCACGTGCCGGCACAGGGGCTCCTGAGCCTGCCTGCAGCCAGCAGCCTGCTGGACCCCCAGTGCCCTGGCGCTGCTCAGAGGGCCAAGGTCCTGTGGAGGTAAAAGGCACTGAGGAGAAACCTCTTGCACTGGCACTGATATAAGGAGATTAAAAAATGCCAGTCCCCAAGCACCCACTGAGCCATAAGTGCCATATGCCACAACCCCTGCCATAACGTGCCGAGGGGCGGCAACACGCTGGCAGGCTGCATCCCTGCTTTCCTCTTCAGAGGGGATGGAGAAACCCTTTCCTCAAGAAAGCCCCGCCAAGCTTTGTTGGTCCCTTTCCAGAAATACATAGGATTTCAAATCTCAATCATTTTTTTTCGCCAAAATTGTTCGCCATTAATCTTTTTGCCTAAGGGCTCAGCCCTTCTCCCTGGTGTGCTGGGGAGAGGGGAGGTGGGATGGGATGTCTCTGGGCAGGGCTGGGCCACAGGCTCAGCCGGGACACAGAGCACTTACCTGCAGGTGCCTCCGTGCTGGTGACCAGGGAGGTGGGGTTGATAGCAGGGATCTCTGGAAGAGAAAGGGAGAGATGTCTTAAGGAAAGGGATCCCCAGTTCTGGGGGTGACACCTGGAGAAAAGCCCTCCACAAGTGGGGTGCAGAGGGGATTTTGTGGATCCCCTCTGGCTAAGAAAGATTGATGGGATGAGTCTGACCTGAATACCACAGGCCATTAAATAGACCTGGAGGTGCCCAAACTGAGCTCAGTAAATTGGGACAGGCTGAGATGCTGCAACCCCGAAGAGCCATAGGTCACTGCTGCAGAGGATGGACAGACAAATGGATGCTTGGCTGATCTGAGCATCCTCCATGATGCACAGCACAGGGACAAGTGTGGGCAAAGACAACAATTTCTTGGGACTCCTGCATCAAAACCTGGGGGAAATTCTGTCCTAAACCCAAATCTGGGGAACAAAAAAGGGAGAGAAGCCAGCCCCGCCAGCTCACCCCCACTGCCACCACTCCAGCAGCACCAGCAGATGCTGCAGAGTGGCAAGTTGTTCTGCTGCTGCTTGGGTCAAATTCAGACCTACTGCAATGATAAACATGGTTTTACTCTGACCACAGCCTTGCCCCAGACCTGACCATGCTCAGGGCTCAACTGGGTGAGGAAGGCACCTTGCTGCAGCTGAAGACATGTCCCAGCAGAGCTGTTTCAGCCAGCTGGAAGCACTAACCCAAGGAGTCTTTCAGGGCTTCCTGGGCTGGGGGGGGGCAAAGCATGGGTGCCCCAGAAGATGACCCAACCATCCTGCCTTGACCACCTCCAGGAGAACAACCACGTGGAAGGGCAGCCCCTCAGCTCAGCCTCCCACACACTGCAAGCTAGCCCAGGGAGAGCATCCCCTGGCACCGGCGGGTGCCCCTGAGCACAGGGCAGGGCATGGCAGCACTCACTGATGCAGGGGGCCACAGGCGAGCGGCTCTGCTGGTAGCCCTTGGCACAGCGGTTGCAGGTGAGGCCAGTCACACCGTCCTTGCATGGGCACTGCCCCGTCGTCTGGTTGCAGGTCTTGCCAGCCGCACCAACAGGGTGGCAGTCACAGGCTGAGTGGGAGAGAGAGAAAAGGTTACATGAGAGGTGATGCACAATGCAAATCCCAAACTGGACCCAACATGCCACCCCTGGAGAGGCAAGGAGGAGGTGGGTCCTTCCAGTGCACCAGTGGAAAGCAGCCACTGGGGCCGGCACAGCCAAGACCTATGGGTCCAGACCATGGCCCCACATGTGCTGCGACCAGCACAGGCAGGAGGGAGAGTGGTTGAAGGGCTCTGCTGATCGGGACACTCAGGATAAGTCCCTGGAGACCCCACAGCTCACACAGGCACCTGCAGCTGCCAGCTGGCATTTAAGGTCAGGACACCAGTAGAACAGTCTCTTCCTGCCCGCTGTATAGGCAGCTGCTCTGGGCACAGTCCAGCATGCATGTGGGATTTCCACATGCAGCTCCGTGCCTGCTGCCTACCTTATCCTGTGCAAACAAAAGGAGCAGGGCTCACATGAGGCCATGCAAACCCTTGTTCATGGCCAGGGTGGACTGAGGGCACTGCAGGGACAGAAAGCAGACAGATACATACCCAGGTCTGCTCTTCCCCCACCTCAACCCTGGGGGGATGCTCCTATCACAGCAGTAAAAGGCATTTTCTCCACTTGCTCCCCCACCTCTGAGCTTTCCAGTCCACAGAGCTGGGCCAACACTGAGCTTTTACACAAACTTCACCCTTGTTTTAGTTTTAGGATGGTCTGAAGTGGATCTGTTTGATGCTTCCCAAGCTCATGAGCCTCAACACCCATCCTGCCTCCCGGAGACCCCAGCCAAAGGATGCCCCCATGTCTTTCCACCACAGCCTCCCCAGGGGAAAAGCCACATCTGAGGTGGGTGAAAGTTGGGTCTCCCTCCTCAGAACAGACCCAAAGTGACTCTCCATCACACAACACTGGATGATGGACTCACCAGGGGTTGCCTATGAGGAGGGGTGCAGGAAGGAGGTGCTCCCGCAGGAGAGGACCTTCCCATCTGCCTGCCCAGGGCTGGACTGGCTATGAGCTGGAAGAGGTTATCTTGGTCTCCATCAGTGTAAGAGTTGAACGTGATTCCAAAGCAAAACAAAAACATCCCCCCACCTGCCCCCACAACCCCCCGATGTTATCGTTTCCCTAATTTTCACCAGATGGCACTAGTGGGAGCACCACGGTGCTGCTCCTTGGGCCCCACCCCTGCACCGCCAGAAACCAGATTGAGCAGACTTTAATGGGAACCAGATGCTTCATCCTTATCAGATCTTGGCTGTGACTGGAAGTGGACGTCTTTCTGACAGGATATTTTGGGGGCTCAGCTGTGATAACAAATGGCAGTGAGCGAGGGAGTCTTGGCATGACGTAGGGCTGTCGGAAACATGGGGTCTTTCTTCACCCACAACAGGATTGTCTCCTGCCAGGGCGGATGGCTCTCCCTGGTGAGCCAGGCTTTCCTGGCTCTACTGCAAACATCTGCCATCAGGTCACCAGGTACCCCAAAAGGTCCTGAGATCATGGGATGGTCCATCCCTGGACTGTGAGAGGCAAAGCTGGCAGCGATGGTCCAGTGCTTGGCCAGCCTTGGATGACCCATGGGAACAACACTGCTGCTTTGCCTGGAGGAGAACATCGGGCTTACTGCCCTCTCTTGAACCATCATGCTCCAGGACATTTTAGCTGCTTCAGATACACCTTGATGGTCTCCCTATACCTACTCCACAGGGCTCTTCTGCACAGGCTCAGCTGGATCCTGTGGCACTTGAAAGGTGCCTTTGATGAGCTGGCAGATACGCCTCTTGGAAACCATCCATTGCCTTGACTCTTTTCCGCTAGCAAAGGCTTGGGTTTCTGTTAGTGGGGCTGGCATGAAGCATTACCCATCCTCATCACCACCCATGCTGGAAAGAGCAGCCTGGTGCCGCCAGCATCACCCTGGTGCTGCCCTGAATGAGGGCTCTCATCCCACCACTGGTGCTTGGAGTACTCCCAGGGCCACAGTGCCCATCCCCAGCCTGCAAAGTCCAACCCACCCCAGAGTGGCTGGGCACAAGCCCTGCCAAACACCTGCTCATCTGAGAGATGTAACTGTGCAGGGAGAGCTCAGAGGTCCCTGAAGCCATCACTCCTGCTCTGCATGCACAGCAACAGACAGTCCATGCCCTAAAAAATTTATGGCCGAAGGCACGCTTCCAGCAAAGATTTATACAAGCACTTAGCTTCACACATTGTGGATAATCTCTTGGGCCGCAGTGGTGTATTCCTGGTGTAAAGTCTAAGGATAGACATAAATCTCAGCACAATCAGGATCCAATTCATCTAAGCAGATCCCTCGTGGCTTTCAACGACTCTTGATGTTTTACCTGGATCAGCAATTAAGGCAGTTTTGCTCATCTTATGTCCACAACAGATAGGTGTTTCTGGGAGATGAGCTTGGTCTCTGCCAGACCACCCTCTGGTCCCTCACCCCGCCATGGTGGGATTTCCTGCAGTCCCACTAAAATCCATTGCTCCTTCCCACTCTGATGGGAAGAGCATCCCAGGCAGCACTCAGTGCTTACTCTGACCAGTCCCACATACCAGCATGGCTGCATCCCACCACTCCAGCTGCAGCATCTCCATCCCTCTCACAGGGCGGGGATGGCCAGGGGACCCATCCCGGCACCAAGGAATGTGGGCACCGAGGCCACAGCACAGCTCCATGCCTGCTGCCCACACACCGTGTGCTGCTGCTCGCAGCCCTGCTGGTTGCCAGGATCTGGCCTACAGTGCTTGAATGGTGGATTAAGTCACTAGCTTGGAGCTTAACTCATCGAGCTGTGCTTGCCAGAAAGCATGTCTTGCACCTAATATTGAGGGTATTTTTGCGTCTTAAGGCTTAACTGCTACTGCTTCACCAGTTTTCATTGGAGAAAGTTCACGGTTTACAGCTTTGTTTAAATTACAGGGATTAATGCACAGCCATTCTTTATTTGACTTTTTAATTACCACCACTGAATTAATCCTGTAGGCTGTTCTGCCTTTTCCATCCTCCCAGCTTTTCCATCTTGCAGCATCCAGCGGTGATGGTGGCCGCTGGCCGGCCGGTGGCTGGAGGGAAGAGCTCACCTCCCTGCTCAACAGCCGGTGGCCGAGGGCTCCGCTCAGTTGCCGGCAGGAGATGTGGGCTTGTGCAATCCACAGTTGGTATTTTTGTGCCTATCTCAAAGACGTTGCGTCCCAGCAGAGGCAAACCATGGTTGGATAGTTATTTGGTAACATACTTTGGGGTTTGTTTAAATAAAATGTAATAGTTCCTGGCCTCTGGGCTACTATTTCGCCTCCTGAATGTGAACCAAGCTTTGTTCCTAGTGCCTGCAAAATCTGCCTTTGCTGGGATGCTCAGCTTCTGCCCTGGACCAGTGCTGTGGTGGGTGCAAAGACCTTCATTCAAAGCTGCAGATGTCAGTTCAAAGCAGCTTGCTCCATGCCCGCTTTTAAGATCTGCTGTCATGAGCCTTGCTTTTCCTTTTCTTTCTTTTTTCTTGCAGGAGTGTAGGTATCTGAGCTGTAGTACAGGACACATCTTTGGAAAAAACAAGCCCAAACTGTCTTGTCACGTCTCTGTATATTTATATATCTGTCTGGCAGCACCAGCTCCCATTCATGGCACCAGGCAGGCAGGCTCCCAGGTGCTGGTCCTGCTCCAAGGAGCTCCCAATCCCAATGGATCCACCACTGGATAAGTACAAGAAAGGGGTGGAAACACTCACTGCTTTACTGAAGGAGGCACAGCCAAAGAAGCAGAAGCATCGGGGATTTTATTATTAACTCAGTTCCCTGAGTTAGACTCTCCCTGAGGCAGAGCCAGAAACTGGCTCCCAAGACCCGGGGTACCGCCTTTGCTGCCAGATCCTCTTCAACATATGCACCGTAGTGGGGAACAGCCCTTGTGCACATGTTCATCTGGCTGGGCTGAACCTTTGCAGCATTTCCAAACCACGGGCAAAACCCCGCCAGCCCTCTGGAAGCAGCACCCCCGGACCGGGCTGGCAGAGACCTGCTTGTGGCTTGGCATGGGGGTGGGCAGGGGAGGGAGGTTTGTCTGGGAGCTGGGACCTGCTGCAGCGCCCCACTTCTCCACTCTGCCACAGCCTGGGCATCACTTACTGGCATTTCTCCTGTACAATGGCATCAGCCCTCGCCCCATCCCACCAGCTCCTGAGCACCCCGGGATGCTCTTGCCCACCCCATCCCCTCCAGAGGACCCACCTTGAATCTGAGATACTTTCTATCACCTTAATGCTCCACAATTACTGCCCTGCGAGGATGGTGGAGCAGAACTTGCCCAGACAGACCACAGGCTGCTGCCTGCATTAGGCAGGCGCTGGCAGCCAGAGGTAGCCAGGGCCCCTCTGCTTCCTCCATCCTCAGCTCTGAAAAGAGGGACCTGAGCCACAGCCCAGCTAGGAAACGCTGTGCCCACAGTGTCCCCAGTCCCACAAACCCGTACCCAGCTCCAACCCACACATCGAGCCGGGCCATATTCAGTTACCCTCCTCCCTGCTTCCACCACCTAGCCAAATCCTGCTTGCTTTATTTATTTTTACATTTTTGGTAAGTGGTCTCTTCCCTAGCTGAAGCAGAAACTGACACCTCAATGCCCAGCACAGAGGCAGCACTGAGTGCCCCAGGGTCTCACAGGGAGGTGAATGCCTGGGCTTCCACTTCGCTTGAGATTTTATCAGATAATTTTGGTAGCAAAATTAGAAGGAGCTGGTGAACCAAAGGGGAGCAGAAACCTCTCATTCAGGGAGGGTGGGAGGTTGGGTGCTGCCCACAGAAGATGCAAGGTGAGGTGGAGGCAGCACAGCTACCTCAGCATCCCATGAGCCCCGGTGCCAGTCGGGGTGAGCCAGGGCTGCCAGCGAGCCCCCAGCACTAGAGGAAAATCCTCACTGAAAAGGGAATTTTGCCGTAGCTGCCCCAGTCTGGTGGTGCTGCAGCAGGAGCTGGGGGCTGCTGCCATCTCTCCCTGGCATCAATCAGAGCCAGGACCCCCTCCCAGGAATGGGACATGACCTGGGATGCTGTGCTATAGACATTTGGGATGCATGCCTTGTCCTACCTCCTCCTCTTCCTCTCTCCCATTGCCTTCCAGTGTTACCCCAAGGATGTTGGCACCTGGCACGACTTTGGGACCTGGCTGCCACCTGGCATGAGCCCCGTCAGTGGGAAACCCTTGGTGCTGCTGGGGGGGCTGCCATGCCCACAGCCATGGCTGTGACACAGCTTGGCCAAGGCCATGGGGCTGGGAAGCAGCACATGGTTCCCCAGGACATGGGCTGCAGAGGTGGGACCTGTCAAGTCAGCATTATTAAAAATTATTAGCTCTCTGTTTGCTAATGAGCTGGCTGCGGGCAGGGCTCCCCCTGCCAGTGTCCACTCAGCTGCACTCCTGCTGCCACCATGGTGTTGGTCAAATGTGAGAAGTTTCTCCGTTTTCTCCATCCTCTTGGCCACTCCCATGGGAACAAGAATGGGGAGAGGCAGGGGTGGTTCACACAGCACAGGCAATGGAGGGATTTTTACCTGTTACATCCCAGACCCAAATGAGCCATACCTACAAACAACACTAATGCACCTGAGAGGGGACCTCCAAAAGCCAAATCCTTCAATTCAGGTCTGTGGCCAGAATGTTAATGGTCTGAAACCAGCTTCAGCAGATCCTGTAAGCCTTACATAAACACACTAGCATCCTGTCTTCACAGCAGCAAAGGTGCCCGGTGCCCATGTGGCTGCGCAATGCACTGGAGAGGGACGCTGTGCTCCCTTCTGGGGGGTACTTGCAACCTAAGCTGGAAAAAAGGGGATCAGGGATGAATTCCAGGCCTCAGCACAGCTGTGGCCAACCTCCTGCCCGCTCCAGCATTTCAGCCTGGATCCTGCCAGTCCTTGGGGATGGGCAAGGTGTTTTCTTATCTCAGCTTCTTTGGTGAAACTATTGTTTTGAGGCTTCACAGAGGAAAAAGGCTCTGCAGAGGGGGCTGAGCAGGGGTAAGTAAGAGAAACCAGATAGGCTTGGCCAGGAGCTAGAGGAGGGAGAGGACAAGTGCAGGTCCCATGACATCTGGCACAGGCTGGGGACCTTGCGAGGTCAAGCTGCAGCTTGATGGCTTGGAGACAGCGTGGCTCCTGGCCAGCTTGGTGACAAGTTACCCTGCCCACAGGCACCATGAGCCATGATGCTCAGCATACCCCCAAAACCAGGTCCCAAGAACCACTGCATAGCTGAAATGCATGTGGGGTCCAGCACTGCAGCCCAGCAGGGAGGTGGAAACCTCCATCAGCATCCCCAGCCTTCCAAGGCAGGGAAGCCACCGCAGGTCATTTTGTGAAGTAGGTTGAATGCTTCCAAGTGTGTCTATGGCACAGACAACGATGGTGTCAGAGACAGGTTTCCAGCACGTTTAGTCATGCACGTTCTCCAGCAACCTGCCCATCATCTCTCCAAACACCGACTGCGAAGACCGTAACTGCAGCCCCACCAGGACTCTCCCAGGATGGACAGGCATCCTGGGAGCCTGCTCACTCCCTGCCTGTTGTCCCTCGAGGAGATGTTGGGCTCGAAGCGATGTCCCTGCCTCCTGGTGCCCTTGGGGTGGCAGAGGTGACCAGGGTGATGGAGGCTGGAGGTGACCTGCAGCTGCCAGAGGGTGCAGCCAAGCTCCAAGCAGAGCAGAGGGATGTCCCAAGGATGGGACGGAAGAGCAAGGAGACCAAGAGAGATTGTATCACCCATGCTGCCCGCATGGAGAACCCCCCAGCTTACCTTTGCAGGCCTTGCGGTCTGTGATGGACTTGCTGAGGTCCCGGTAGAAGCCCTCTTTGCAGTAGTGGCAGTGCCGCCCCGCGGTGTTGTGCCGGCAGTTGAGGCAGACACCACCACTCTTCCTGCCCGAGAGCTTGTACAGCTCCATGTTGAAGCGGCAGCGCCGGGCGTGCAGGTTGCAGTTGCAGGCTGCAAAGGAAGGGAGAAGGTGAGGGCTGGAGGTGAAACCTGGGAGCCCCCCTGGGTGGGCTGGAGCTGTCCCAGTGCCCTCTGCTGCTGCTGGGGGCCAGGGCTGCCTGCGCTGGGGGAGTGGGACGGGCAGGGCAGGGCAGGACACAGCACAGCTGACCCCAAAATGCCATCCAGATGTGCGGTATCCATTGCCCCACGGAGCCGGTGCAGGGCCGGGAGGTGCTGGCAGAGGAGAAAGGGCACATATAGGGACGGGGCAATGCTTGGCTGAAGGCAGAAAAGTGTGGGATGAAAGGGTGCAGCCAGGGGGTCCAGCAGTGCCAGCCGGGCACCTGCAGCCCTGCCGCCCCCCCTCCCCCTTCCCCAGCAGCCAGGTCCAGTGACAGAGCCTGGCCCGCCTTTCGGCAGGACCACCCACCTCATGCCAGGGGCTGCAATGGCATTGCCCCTGCTGCCTCACAGGGTGCCATCCTCAGCGTCAGCAATGGAGCCATCAAATTCCTTATATTTAAGGCTCTAGCCTGTGTGCATGTGCACACACACAAAGAAGCCCACATAGCAACCCATGCATGCACATATGTGTGCACACACAAATGTGCACAAACACACACACAAGCTCATGTGCACACAAACACATACATGTGAACATGCATGCACACAAATGTGCACCTAAAAATCTACATGCTGTTACATGTGCACACACATGTGCACAAACATGCAAACATGCATGCTCACATGTGCAAACACACATTCATACACATGCTCACATGTGTGCATACATACACATGCACGAATATGCATGCACAGAAGCTTGCACATGCTCACACACACGTGCAAGCTCCTGCAAACATACATGCATGCTATTTTTTCATTAGCCACAGGAACAGTGCAGCCCCCCACCCGATTCCACGTGTGCGAGATAAAAAGGCAAAGCAATGCCCGTTCCTGCTTAACACTCTCACAAAAAGATAATGGGAACAAGATTTCCTTCAGCAAAACGCAGCGCCCTCCTCCCCCAGCTCCAGCCCCAGCCCCAGCCCCCTCCCTGTGCCGGTAAATTGATGTTGGGTGAGAGTTTTTCCAGGCGTACTGTGAAATTCATTAACGTGTCAGCCCAGATTTAACTGCTTAGGCCTGGCTTGGCAGTTGTGTGAAGTTGCCTCCCCCCCCGGCCGGCAGGATCGGTGGGAGCTTCAGCCCATGCAGATCAAACATTCCCTCGCCTGCCTTGTCACTCCAGCCTTGGAGACGCTAGGGGAAGAAAGCCGGAGAAAACCCCAGCTTTAAAAAAGAGCCTTCTTCAGAGGCTTAAATGAGTTGGGCGAAAGGTTTGTGCTGGCCTCGGTGCTGCCAGCACCATGCACTCAAACCTCAGTGGCCCCACATTATGAGATTAGTGTAAAAATCACATGGCAGGCATCAAAATAGCACTCTGGCGTGGCGGTAGGTGCCTTTGGAGGCTTGTGCCTTTTGAGCTTTTTTTTTTCCCAGTGCTTATGAAAAATAGGGGCTTTTGAGGCAAATTCTGACATGGGGCTAGGGGCTGGGATGCAGTGCCTGGAGGGAGAACAGCAAATACTGCCTGTGGTCCCAGGCAGCCTAGGATGCTGCTGTGCTGGGGATGCCAACACTCAGTCAGGCTAGGAGAGATGCAGTGAAGAACCCTGACATCCAGGCTACTCTTGCACTCACCAGATAACAGGACACAGACAAACAGGTGGTTCATGCCACTGAACCAAGGCAGCCACATGTAACTGCAGCAAAGGAGCAATTTTTTGAGAGTAGAGGGGCCTTGTCATTCCCTTGCATCACTGAAAGGCCAGATGGGTCACCCCAAAAGGCAGCTTTGCTGTCCCACTGGGAATGCTTGGGGCTGCCCCCGCGAGCCCCCGGCATCCTCTGGGGAAGGAGAGGGGGTGGCAGCCCGGAGAGGAGGCGATGGGCAGCAGAGGAGAGAGGTCAGGTAAATGATTTTCTGCCTTCAGTGCAGGTCTCTCTATGCCTCCAGTTTAACTGGTGAGAGAGTAACTGGCCGGGGCCTTTTTGCAGCATCATCAACCCTGCGGTGGGCTGGGGGCCCTCCTGGCTGGCACGTCCCTGTCAGTCCCGGGGCCACCTTTCCCCAGGAACATGCTACAGATCCTCCCAGGAGCTGGCCTTTGGGGAGAAACCTCCTCTTGCTGCTCAGCATCATCCCCTCTGCCTGCAGGCCGTGATGCTGCCTGCTCTGGGTTGTTGCTCCCAGCCCAGGCTGGGTGTCAGCAAACTGCCTCCAGCTTAGCAGAGGCCAAGCTGGGATTTTGGCGCAATCCTGGCCAGCTGACATGGACACCTGGCTGGGCTTGGCCATGCTGGTATGGGCGGCTGTCCCCTGCTCAGGGACAGGGTCACAGAAGCATGCATGACCATGCCCTCACCCCCCCAGTGCAGCGATCCGGTGCTAATTGGGCAGACGCGTCCCCCCTCTTACCCAGCTAAATATTTGTACTGTTCCTGAGCATCAACTCAGTTGCAAGCTCTGTCTGTCTCCCGTTAATCACTAATTAAAGGCTTGAATGTTCCCTGCTGTTTGGGGTATTAATAAGAATTTAATTGCACAGTTTGGGGCTAATTACATGGTAGCTTGCTTCCGACCTTGTACAGTATGCCCAATTAAACAATCATATGATCAATTAAACAATCACAAGATCTAATAATTTGCAATAATAGACTAATTAAATGTTGATGCCTTGCAGTGGAGCAATCTTCTGTCCCCATTTTGACAGCGTTTGAACCCCTGCCCAGGCCCTGGCTACCTTACAACCTCTTTCTCCCCTGGGCTGCTGCAGATGGAAGAGCCTGGGGTGACGGCACAAGGGATTTTGGGGCAGGAACCCCAGCACAGGACGGGCAGCACCATGCATGAGGGCACACGCATGGCAGGCAATGGAGCCCGCAGGGCAGGAGCGGTGGTTTGCTACCCCTACAAGTTCCCTGGGAATAATTAGTGAAGGCAGCCGGCTCAGCGAAACCCTAGACTGGCCACTGCTGCCAACCCGCCGTGGATTTGAGCTACGCCCCTGCTTTGGCTGGAGGAGAGCCTGGCCAGGACTGCAGGGCAGGATGGGACTACACCTCCACCCCGAGGACAGGAACCAAGACCAGAAAAGCCCCTTCCCTCCCATCTGCACTGCCCCTCCATCATGGAGAAGGTGTTCAGAGAGAGGGGTTGGGGCTCACACCTCTACTGCCAAGAAGCAGGAGGAGAAGCAGAAGCAGAGAGCCCTCCCCAAGGGGCTGCAAGCTGAGAACAGGGGTGTGAGGAACAAGGTTTTGCTGCTCCAGCCCCATCCTGTGAGGAGCAGGACTCAGGATGGTCAGACAAGTGTTAATCTCCTCCACTGTGGTGGCTGCCTCCCCCCCTGCACCCCAGATCCACTGGGATGCTGCACCCCATGGGGAGCAGGTCCCCAGGCAGGGGTAGCAGGGGGATGCTGCCTGCTTGCCCACCTCCGAAAACCATCACCTACCCCAAACCACTCACCCTTACTCTCCCCAGGGAAGGAAGGACTGTGGCCAGTGCTGCTGGGAACCCACCAGTTTCCAGCACATCTGCTGGGGAGAGGGCAAGGAGCACCCTGCAGCAGGGGAAGGGGCAAGGGAAGGGGCTGCAGATGCAACTGCCAACAGGCCACTGGCAGCACAGATCCTGCTCCATGGGGTAAACCAGCCCAGGCCAGCTCACTGGGGGATTTCTGAGATAATATTTGCATGGGAAGTACTGAGACAGAAAAAAAAAGCAAACATGTACAGGAAGGGGGAGATGACACAGGGGAAGCACATGGGATCCTCTAAATCCCATCACTGCTCTTGGGAATCTGTGTTTTCAGGCACTGGCATCCCAGATCGATCACCACAGCCCCCCAGCCTGAAGTGGAGGGAGCAGCAGCCAGCAAGGTCTTCCCAGGAGAGCACAGCCCCTTCCCCGCCAAGCCCCCCAGATCAAAGCGAGCCCTGTGCATTATCCCAGTGCTCCAGGGAGCACTCCTGCCGTGGCAG